GCTGATTGGACGTTCGTTTGGTGAACGGCTCCAAATGTTCTTTAACGGAGAGTCTCCAGACTGATCTGCGAGTGAAACCTTGAAAGCTCGCGAGATCAGGATGGTCTCTGCTGACAAACACAAGGGGGATTTCGATCGTCTTTTTTAAATTTATTTACCGTCAACTTATTTTCAAGTGATTTTTTTTTACCCACGGACAATCGCTACGAGCCAGAAATCCGACCTGATATTTTAATCCCTGTATATATCATATATCGGAATTATTGTGATAATTCTGCTGTAGATGAGCTTTCACGTGTGCACTAACCCAGGTGCTCTTTCTCGTTTCCACAGAGGGACAGCAAGGTCTTGATGAGCCTGAGGTGTCCCGCCAGCAGGATGTTGTCTGCCTCGCTGGTCTCCATCTCCGAGCTCCAGCTGGGCTCAAAGTTGTCGAGCCAGGAAATCTCATCCTCCAGCATGTTGGCTGCGCTCACTTTCAACACCTCCATCTCTGATGCTGAGGACGATCCAGATCCACATCAGACATTTCCGCCACTGGTAAAATGTTTTACACGACTGCTCTGATGAACGTCACTTACTGGTTAGGTCATCCAGGAGCTGGCATCTTAGGTCAAAGTATTCCGTGCACTGAGACAGTAACCTGAGGAAAGGAGTCAGTGTGAGTCGTCTCTGAGCGCTTTAAACATTCTACCATTCATGCTTCTTGCTTCAGTACCTCATGTTGACGCCTCTCATGACCGATGTGGGACTCCATAACGGCAGCTGGGCAGTGAGGACGACCGAAAGCAGAAAGAGGTTGGGCTTCTGGACTTCTGGGAAGGCTGAGGTGTCAGACTGACTCAGGGTGTACAGCTGATCGCAGGCCACCCGGCGGATCTAAAGAAAGCAGCACAGCTTTGATCTGGGCGAAGGCTCAGAATCATTCCCTCTGTGAAGTGCCTTCAGAGCGTGGCTTACCTCCGCACTGGGAGATCCCAGCAGAATGTCGATAATGAAATCACCGACGGAGGGAAGGGTGTAAAAAGAAGCTGTGGAAAGATGGAGCACAGTGTGAAAATTCTGCTAAAGAAGCTGTCGAAAGCCCGCCGCATCAAAAAAACAGTCAAACGTCTTACACATCTGCTGGCAGCGTAGCTGCAGACAGGTAACCAACAGCGACAAAGCCTCGCGGGCGATGATGGCGTCCTTGATGCTGACACTCTGCTGACGGACGCATATGCCTGCATGCAGCGCTGTTGGAGTCGTCTCTCCTTCGCTGCTGCTGCTGCAGTTACTCCCTACAGGACAGTTCTGTTACTTTCATTTCTTTAGTTTGTGCAAATAAAAAAACAGCAGCATGAGAGACTTTTTACTTACACCCTGTCTACTTTTAAGGCTAGGTTTAAAAGCTTCTAGTTAGAGTGACTCAGGTTATCCTGAGCTATCTCTATAGTTCTGCTGCTATAGGCTTAGACTGCTGGAGGACATAGGGACCCCTTTTTCATCATTCTGCTTC